TATGTCTCAAATTAGGTCTCTTCCAGGCCTTGCACATCTTGAAACCATGTACTGTACCAAACCACTCATTGTCATAGACCTCTCAGCATGTATTTAAGAAACATATTTAAGACAAATAGATTAATTATAAACATCCTTACCATACATGCAATAGTTAAATACTGTGGTGCAGGTGGCCTGCCGCTGCACGGCAGGAGGTGGAGGAAAGGAACCTTCGCAGGAGGAGATCCAGGCCTTTGCCGCTTGGTGACCGAGGGACGTCTTCCCCCCGGAGGGGCTGACGCCGATGCCGATGCCCCCGTTTGGACACAGCCCGACATAGTCGAGAGGCGGAGATGCCGCTGGTCACGATGCGCGCCTCTGCATTGGATTTCACACCACGACGTTGATTGGATTCACCCGCGATCCACGACCTTTCTGCTCGATGTCACTCCGACCCCCTCTGCCGAAGCCTCCGGCCCGGGCGACCTCGGAGACGAGAGGGGGTTTCCACGTTCTCGGGTCTTGGGCCCGGGGGCGGTCGGGGAACGTCTCGGCACCCGACCGGTGGGGGACGGTGTTCTGTTTTGCTTCAGACGATCCATGGGGGCAGTGTGGTTGACCGACCCGTTGGGGTCTCTCAGTCCTGGAGCTGTGGACCTGTGGACCTGTATCTCCATCAGTGTTTTTTCCATTTGGGCTGAAGACGAAGGCTGCCACAGGTTTTGCACTCTGGGACCGGGCCTGGCTGGTGGTCCATTCTTGGCGGGGCCCGAGGCCAAAGAGCTCCCTCCAGAGTTGATAGACGTCCTAAAGCGCCTTGGGATGAACTGAATTCGTTCGCGAGGGCAGGTGGTGGAGGGGAGTGGGGGACAGGGGCCATCCATTCAGAGGTTGGATCTTGGAATCATGACTTCTGCATAGACATTTCCTTACACCAGGTGCTTTCTCTGGTTCCACCCCACCAACACCCAACACTACCCCCACCACTAATAGGGCCCTGATTCCTCCTGCTCCGCTTTGGTTTCGAGGCAAAACACGGTTTGACATACTCGAATGATCCTTCAGGTTGTGGCGCAACCTGTGATGGCCGAGTTTTTTGGTGATTGTTTGACCCCTTACACTATGTGACATGGTTTAGACACTTTGTGATGGTCATCATGCTCATCATCCATCACGCAAGAAGAAGGTCTAACGATGCAGAGTGAACCACTTCCCTTGAGCGATCCCTCCACTGACCTTCGCAACTTTCCGCCCCCAACCCCGCCACTCAGGCGCGTGGTGGCGAAGGCTGAGGACGGCGGTGGCACATCCAGCGGCAGCGAGGTGAAGACCTCTGGAAAGAAGTGGGCGGCGATAGATAAATTCGGCACCAACCTCGGCCAGGGCAAACCGCGCGCGCGTGCGACGCCGGCGGCATGAGTGCGGGGTAATGGGTCGCAGGGTAATGGGTGATGCAAGGGTGTGTGTTTGCTCTTTTGTTGTGGAACAGGTGCTCCGTGTGTGCTCCTCCGATTTTCTTGACGGTCCACAACAATGGCAGAAATTCTGTGTTAGCAAGTATTAATTGAATCTCATTGGATCTCTTCTATGTATGCGACCTTCAGCAATGAAGCCCAATCAAGACCTCTCTGCGGTGCCCACTGAGGCAATTCTGACAAAGCCAGCGTGCCTTGGCCAGGGTGGGGGTGTTTCACAATGCTGGGCTCTAGGCGCATGTCATCAAGAAGCGGGGGTCTCCCCAACTCAGCAGCGTCATCATCAAAACCGGAGTCCTGACTTTTGCAATTATTTTTGCATATTTTTGCCATTGGGGTACTGGAATACAGGAATCGTGTTATACCGAAAGGCCAGAGGCCAGGGGAAGATCACCAACTTTTTCGAAATGGCTTTTGGTGTCTGTGTGTGTGTGGGGCCGCCCTATCCTTGCTCCATGCCCACAAGTCATACCTAACTCATATATAACTCATAGCTGACTCATGACCCATAACGCATTGTCATAACCCATAGCCGATTCAGTCGAATTCAGTGATCCCACCGTTTTGCCCCCAGACGAAGTCCGTTTGAATGATCAGCGCCACCAAGTCTTTAAAGAAGAACCGAGAACGATGTCCTTTGAACGATCGCCCTACTCGTGTTGACCATGGGTCCACCGAACGGTTGGCCGGCATAGCCTCCGAGGAAATGCAACGTGCCATCTTCATTTGGGACGAGGAACGAAGAGACGTCTCGAGAAGTTCGGCATCCGCTGGAGTCCGGTGAACACACTGACGGTATCGGCATCGACTGGAGGCATCAGGAAAGGCATCAGGTCTCCGGGACGAATCGAGATGGAGACGAGATGCATCGGTTCAAAGCAGTGGGCTTCACGGACGAGTGACTAGGTCATCTGGGACTCCAGCTGTGACCATTTTTTTGGGGTGCCCCGTTCCGGCCCATGCGGTTCTTCCCAAGAACCGACCAGCCGAAAGACCCGAAAACCAGCCGAAAGACCGGGAGAAGGTGGAGAATCGGGCGCTGGAGAGAATCGGGTGCAGGACCAAGAGACAAAACGAGACATGCTGCAACCACCAAGAGACGTAGCTGCGGAGAAGAGGCCTTTCTCCCCCGGGTCAGCTGCACAATGTCAGTTGGGAACCCTCGTCAGCTTCTGTCGTACGTGTGACGGATGGAACCCTCGTCTGGCCTGGTGAGGAGACCTGCCAGAAGCACATTAAAGAGTTTCTGATGCTTGCACCAAAGGAACTGGGGGATGTTGTTTTTCTTACTTGACCCTCCTTCAACATCTCCAACAAGCTTGGAAGTCGGGAATATGTGCTTGTAGAGGAAAACATTCTTCCAACGGCGGACCCTGATGCACTTCCATGTTTGTGGAATAGAAGGTATCCGATGTGTCAAACGAGTGCTGCCACAATGGACCCTGGTGAACTTGCTACGATGAGAAGTCACAGTTATCATGAGCTATCGTGAGCTCTCATTGAGTTCTGAAGAAAGCAAGAACTCATCCCAAGCCAACTATCTAATTCAACTTACTTCAACAAAAGGCATCCGTTCAACGCACCAGAGGCATGGTGATCGAAGGAAAACCATGGGTGATCAGTTCCGCTCTGCGCGCCCGCGCGCTTGGGAAACCGGGTGCTTTCGGTCCTAGGAAGGACAAAGAGCCGCCTGAGAAGATGACAGGTGCCCAGCTGGTGATGGAGGACGGCCTGGTGATGGATGCGACACAGAAGGGAGAGGATCACATGAATTTTTGTCCAAGTACTGATCTCTCAAAATATAGGGGAGGAGACCTTTGGAACCGGCATGAACCGGCCATCCCGTGTTGCGGTGGGACTCCAAGAGAATCGAGAGTAGAGTAGAGAAGGGCTTTGGTCAGGATTTCCTCACACACCCAGGTGATGACAGTGCTGGTAGACAGAGACGCCGCATGACATTGACAGATGTGGCCACAAGGTGCTGCTTTGCTGATCCTGTCAAGTTCTGATGCTAGCTGCAGCTGGGCCATCCAACTGTGAGTGAGACTCACGTCCGCTAGGCAACTAGGCCTTCGTTCTCCGAACGGAAAAGACCTAGTCGCCTTCGGTAGATCTCGTTCAGTTCTCCCACTGCTCGTTCGGCACGTCGTCCGTCGGCGACGAGAGCGTGCAGTTCTGCAGTTCTCCGATGTGGAGAGTTCTCCCAGGACGTGGCCTGGAAGTCCAAGGAGGACCAGGAGAGGGACCGGGCAGGACGGATGGACTGGTGGACTCCCACCGGTAGATGTCAACTGGCCCAAGGGTTGTCTAAGGGTCTTGGGTCACGAAAACTGCGTGCAGTCAACGTATTCGTCCCACTACGGCCCCTTGGTTTCAAACAGGTACCTGAGCGGGTATGTACAGTGGATATGACTAAGCAATGTATGAAGATAATATATGATTCCTATTCGGAGAACACACATCAGTTCTGGTTGTCCAACATGCTTGCCTTCTCAAGGACCACAGGAAAACGGGGTTGGGGCCCGTTGCTTTTGGGCCATCCGGAGAACTGTGCACGTCAAGAGTCATCCGTCCTTCTGTTTGGAGCACCTGCCCATGTCAGTTGTGTCTTCCCATGTCGTTAGAAGGTATGGATCCATACCCGGCTGTTTAGGGATCTCTATATGTAGTCTATATATAGTGGACCATTTACATCTACGAGACTTGTTCTTAACCACGCCTTGGTCGACTTAACCACGACCAGTGTACCCTCACCACGCCGGTTGCCCCTAACCCCGACTCCTAGTTTCTAACCACAACCCCTGCGGACCCTAACCCGGAGAAGGGGTCAGGAAGCCGTCAGGCCTTGCAAAATAGAATTAACATGAATTACCGGATGCCGCTAAGGTTCATTTTGGTCAGCGGGAGGCCCTAGGCTCAACTCCAGCCACCTTGAAGCCGTCGATGGCTATAAAATGGAATTATTGAATTAGTGGATGCCGCTAAGTTCATGTTAGGGGCGCCCTGGTCGTGGTTAAGTCACAGCCCTTCGTGGTTTATGTCCTTTCTTTCCCGTGGTAAAATTCTAGTCTCCTACATCTACAAAAAGATACCAAAAGCCATTCAGGAACCCAGTCTAGAGTGAGTACTGTATTTATTATTCACCAATTGGTTTGGATTGACTCACTTCTGCGAGTCAGCCAGAGGAGAAGCGGACTGGAGCCCTGGTGTATTGCGCCAAGGAGTGGCCACTCGACCGGGGAGCTGTCTCGGTCAAGGAAGCGAGGTGTTGGGGCCGGCTGATTGGGCGGTTTGGTGGAAGCGGTCTTGGGTGAGTGCTTTCCTCTTTACTTAGATCTGCTATCGCCTCCTATTTTCCACACACATCCTGCTTTTGGGAAGACTTGTTGCGTGGACTGACAAGTATGTTTTCCTTTTCAACGAATTGCCGAGCTAATTTGGGAGTGTTTTTAGATTTGTTTGCGGCAATCGTTTGAGAGTCCTTCCCTCCAAAACGGTTGGCCCAAAAGGAACATCCAGTACCGGGTGGTGAGTTCCAGCCCTTCCATCCCCTGCCGCAGCAGCCTCGCACTTCTCACTCCACCGGTCGCCCGTCCGAGGATGTGGAGTCAGGTGGATGCGGAGGTGCCCTTCGATCCAGTGGACCAGCAGATGTCCGACGAGGCCGACGGGCGACGGCTTGTCGGGGCACGGGGCCTTTGGACGCGGTGCGGACGTCCGGAGGGCTGCCGTTGGACCGGGATGTGGGTCCTTTTGCGAACAGAAGTTGGGAGACATCCTGAGAAGATGATGGAACATGGTGGTGTTCTTCCCTAGCAAGTCCTATACAACAGTGGCGGTTGAGAAGACATCCATTTCTTTCTGGCTGTCACTTGAGAATCGGTTCTTGCTTTCCTTCGCGCGCGTGAGAGATGTCAGCTCCACTGCGTGGAACCACCCCATCTGTGGTTGCACTCGCCGAGAGCTGGGCATCCGCCACCCGACGAGCCGTCGGTTCCCATCTTGTGAGGAGAAGAACGCGATCTTGAATCACTGCGTGTACTTGTGGGATGAGACGCCAGGTTTTTTTCGCAGTTCGTCGGGTCAACCGGTCAGTGCCCCCAATGGTATACGTAGATTCAGGTAGATTTAGATCAGGGTCTTTTGTATATACATTTGTCGTTAGCGTTGTGAACATAGGGTCCCGATCTTGTTGGGATCTAGTATTGACCAAAGAAAGGTGTAGGCAGTGCAGGATCTTTTTAAAGTCCACCTAAGGAGAACAACTAGGAAATCTGCTACAATTCATCCTGACGTTTCGTTCACTTTATGAATGAGATGATGTAATATGCTATGAATGGATTTGAGAACCGGTGCTCTTTGATTCCTGCGTTGGTCAATACGCCACATCATCAAAGGAAGGCGGCCGATGCCTTTCTTGAGAAGCTCAAATACAAAAAGCTTGGCCACTCGCCGTCCAGGGGCGGTGGTGGGGTTGTGTGACGTGGGGCGAAGGTGAGACATGTCAATGTGTCTACCGCAGGTTTGGGTCTATTGCCCAAGAGTTCACTGATGTTCCCCAAACAGTCTACTGTTCTGAACCCTGTGTCCGGGTATTGTCCTCTTGTTGTCCTGCTCTTGTACTCCTGCTGTCCTCTGGCCGCTGGTGGCCGCGCTTTCGAAACCTGTGTCCTCCTCTTGTCCTCCTGCTGGTGATGATAGCGGTGGCCGCGCTGTGCACCCTGCCTTCTTTGCCTTGTCCAGGCCTTGTCCAGGTCTGTGTGTCCCAATTGGCCGCGGGCCGGGCCTTTCTTCTCCAGGCCGTGTCAGGGTCTGTCTGTCCTAGCAACAAGTGCATCGCTAGTAGTAACAAGTGCCTTACTAGTAGTAACCATTTTTTGTTTTGCCGTTCCCAAGAGCTGGAGGCTATAGGAACACAATTACTCACGTTACCACCAACAATAGAATTCAAGGAGTTGATGCAACCAAACTGAAGCTGTTTGGGGTCTATGCTGGCATAATTTTTTCACTCTTGGGAAACAGGAGCTGGCCACAGAGGCTGCCCGCGCTGTGTCTGGGTCTTGTCCTCCTGTCATCCTGGTGCTTGCATTTGTCCTGCTGTTGTCCTCTGGCCGCGTTGGCCAACCCTGTGTCCTCCTTTTGTCCTCCTGGTGCAGTGCTTGCAGTTCGACTGTTGTCCTCTGGCCGCGCTGGCCAACCCTGTGTCCTCTTGTCCTTCTTTTGTCCTCCGAGTGCTTGCAATTGTCCTGCTGTTGTCCTCTGGCCGCGCTGGCCAACCCTGTGTCCTTCAGGGCACCTTTTAAAAGCGAAAGTCATATTGTAATAGCGAAATCCAGATTTTAATTGCGAGCGGGAATCTTGTAATTGCGAAACAACACGCTGATTGCCACCGCATGGCTGAGTCAACGTGGCTCAACATGGCGCAGCTGGGTCTCTGCCAACACGCACAGTGGGTGGGACCTCGCGATTGAACTCATTGCCCAACTGTTTCCACCACAAAGGCCCCTTGAGAGCCTTTGCTTTGTGGCAGCAGAGCAAAAACTTTTTGCCGCTTCACATCCTTAAGACACCGGTAGCTGCAAAGACCACCCTCAAAGTGATTTCGGCATGCCAAAGCAATTTTGGAGGGGTCTTTGCAGCTTCACACCCTCAAGGCACCCGTAGTGGCAACGACCCCCCTCAAAGTGATTTCGGGGAGCTTAAAAACACGTTTGAAGGGGTCTTTAAGTCTTGTCCAGGTCTGCCTGTCCTGCTGGTGAGCGTTTTTGGCCCTTTTACCACCCCCTTGTCCAGACCTTGCCCCGTGCTTGGCCACGCTGCTTGCCCTTTCTCCACCGCCTTGTCCGGGTATGTTTTCGCGTGGCTATGAATGCGTGCAGCATTTCAAACTTGATATCAATCATCCTCGGATTTTATCATGACACATATCCCTTCGTATTTTGCACATTGTGACCCGAGAATGAGGAACTATTGTTTTCCAACAATATCATTCCCAAACAGCTGGAAGCTATAGGCTATAGGATCAAAATTACCGACGTCACCACATGAGGTAGTTTGACCCGCCAGAGGTTGGATTTGTCACTTTCACGACGTCAACTGAGACCCTCTGAAATGGAGAACCCCTACTGGCTCGCCACGTCTTTGAAAGAATACGTGAGGATGGCATGCCTCTACTGGGTTTCGTGAAACATGTCTTCCGACCAATCAGTCGGGGCAGCTGACCTCAAGGGGCTTCGTCGCGGAGCCCTAGGCCTGACAGGGAAAAAGCTGATGGACCACCAAGAACGCCTTGGCGTGACCTGGCCCTTTCAAACTCGCTGGGCATTACCTCGTGCGCGATGGGTCGGTTGCCTGAGGTGGGTGGGAGTAGTTGGTGTGGATGATGCCCTTCGCTGTGGAGTCATGCAAGCACTGAACGGCTATATACATAGCGAGGTTGCAAAAGCGCTGCAAACAAGAAGCGGGGTCGCCCAATTGAAAAACACGGTTGAACACCCCACAAACCTACAGTGACCACAAAGGTCTTCCCAGAATGGTCGCCAGACTCCGATCGGCTCGCCTAACTCTGTGGTTTTCTGGTGTTCTTGGCCCAGGCATTGTCGATGGATGACTCAGACAAGGTTCTGGTGCAGTTGGCCAACGAGGCGGTGCTCTTCATGAAGGACATCGCCCTTCCGCTGCAAGGAAGTGGAACGAACGCGGAGGAAGGACAGCGCCCGGGTGACCGGCCCCTTGAACGGGGACCGCTGGATCGTGAACGAACCTGGCCCACCAAGCCACGTGAATTGGAGTTGTTGTTTTTTTGTTTATTGTCATGTCGAGAGAGGTCCATATTCTCCGTGCTTCTCCACATGCGATGCTCAACAAGGGTTCAAATCAACCAATTTGTCCCACTAAAACTCGAGTGCCGGTTTGACCGCGCGATGTGAATCAATGAAGAGCCATCGTATGCGCCATGGACCTGCCAACATCCATGCTCTGGGTATTTGGGTGAACTACACAACCCGTGATATCGTCTTGTGGCAAGACTTTGTGCACCACACTCACTTCCAAGCCGACTTGGCACCTGGGATGCTATGACATCACTGCTGATGCCTCGATGTCATAGCTGCCCGGTCGTCAGACTGAGCTGCGATGTCTCTCAATGTCTTGGGGTTTGTCTGACTTGGTCTTGGGACATGTCCACCCTTTCCAAATGCTTTGGCTCTTCAAAGGTCGCTTGTGGCCCCTGTGGACCTTGTCGTTTCTGTAGAGAGAAGACCATAGACCATAGGATCCTTATGATACTATATACATAGTCTATAGGATGCCATTAGTTTAATGGTTCTTGCCAAACAACCGCACAAGTCCGAAAGTCACTGACCTAGCAAAGCGAGATGCAGTGCTATGAAGGAGCGACCGAAGGGAAAGTGACCAAACGCTACAACTAACCAAGGTCCGCACCAATTTTGAATTAAGCCACCGACGTAACGACATTCCTGCCAAGCTACCATTGTTTTGTATACTAGGTCAACCATTTTTTTAATGTCTCGGAAGGCACTTGCCGCCCACGCAAGAAACTGTTTGAGCCTAGACGTTTTGGAGAACCCGCTCACAGATTTGGGGGGCCCTTTCAGGTGAAATTTGTCGTGGAAGACAAAGCTTGGCACGACCGGTTCGACCGCTAGGCCCTGACGATCGTCTGGTCGTGTCCAAGTTTTGCTCTCTTGTTGGGGGTGGTTTGGAAACGGATTTGAGATTTGCAAGCTCCGCTTTGGAATCGGGTCTGTAAGTGTATCAACCAATGGTCCGTTCCACCGATTCGATTTGGGGATTCATGGGGTTCCGCGGTCGGGGGGACTTGACGGTGGACGTAAGTTGACTTCGTATAGGACATGCGATGCATGGGGAATGAGTGCAAGTCCCGTGGAACCCAGTTGCGTGAGATTTCCTGGTCAAGCATTCCCGGCCTAGTCAAAGGCGGCCAGTGCAGGGGTTGGAAGCTTATTGCAAGAAGAACTTCTATCATGCCTGGACAAAGTAAGGCATGGTATCTCGAGGACCATTTTTTTTCCGAAAGGATCTCAACAAAGACATGTGCACAGTATCACTTGGATCTCAAGGTGCCCAACAAAACAGCATCTATTCATATTGGACAAGGAACTATCAAGTTGTCAATGAGGCTGTCTACCTGTTCGACCGACCAACATTTGAAGTATATCAGATCATAGCTTCATAGCACTTGCTTTTTTGACCCCACCCGACATTCCAGTCCAAAGAGCATCATCATCATCATCATCATCATCATCATCATCATCATCATCCTCATCCTCATCCTCATCCTCATCCTCATCCTCATCCTCATCCTCATCCTCATCCTCATCCTCATCCTCATCCTCATCCTCATCCTCATCCTC